AAGTCTTTCGGCAAAATGTTCACGAAATGCCCCTCTATAAGTGGAAGCAAGCCTTCCTTCGCTGCCTTCACCTTCTTCAAAATGACGTCATCTGCCATCGCCGCCGAGCCTAGGGAGACCTACCGTAGTTGCTCCAGCTTGAAGCTGCTACATAATTTCTTGAGTTTTGGACACCTTTCAGGATCCCTGCTGACCAACATTTGAGACAGTGTCAGCATGGACCACGACCCTTCGAGGAACTCCCTGAGCTCCACCATTGCAATGTTCCTGAAGCAGATTCTTCTGATTTCGCTAACGTAGAAGGATATTATAAAGTTATTCAATAGAATTATCTATGCACTTCAATAATCTGACGGGATTATCTGGTTCGAACTTGGCGAAGTGCTATTAAGCCTGAATCCTGAGAGCGATCCTGAAAGTGAGGTTTTCTTTTTTTGGCCGCCCCTGTATGAGCGCACGGAAACATTGAGCTCACCTCTGCCTTCCGAGTGCACTTAGCGATTCTCTAAAGGAAGTCGTGAAAGTTTTTCCACGCATTATCTTGAGCGATGTCGCACGAAAGCTCCCTCATTAGGCAAACGTGGTGAAACAGAGTATGGCACTAGAGTGCAACTGGAAGTACTTCCTCCTGCAGACGGGAGGTCATGAGAGCGATTTCTTGATGGGATTGCCCTTTTGCTTTCGTCGGCAACATAGCGAAAAATACTTTAGTCACCTCATTTCATCAAAGCTTGCCGATAACATAAAACCCGGCGTAAGCGATGGGTACGCGTTCGACTCCCGTCTGGGGCAAATGCTCCTATAATCTAAGATCATGGTGCCAACATTCGCATGACAACTGCTGCCAAAATCAGCAGTTAACAAATCAAAAACAAGCCAAAACTCAAATTTCTGTGTGAACAATTTCGAGAACCTCTCTCAGAATTGTACAGGTAGTGAGCCCTTTCTCTCACTGCTCAAACTCTAGCCGGAGTTTTGGCAATGTGAGTTTCAAGTCCGAGTCATCTCATACTCTCAATGTTTGTTTATTTTTTTACTGCATCTCTAAAACGAGCTCCAGCCAAAGAGCCGCATGATACTTGATGAATGAGCTCGTTGAGAGTGTAGTACAAAGAGCCCTTCGACTAACCTTGTGTGTCGACGTTTTGGCATGTTGCTGTGATGAATCATAAAATCAGTGCTTTTTTACCAATGAATTTCCCTGCTCAGCTATTTACCTATTTCGGCTTAATTACATCTGACTTGTCACTGAACGAGCTTGTCTCCTTTTCAATTCCACTCTTGTTTCATTTGAAAAACAAATAATCATTTCAAAGTGACCGAGGAGCAATATGGCCTTTTTAAGTTGAAAGATGCTTGCGTTCCTTATCCTGCCAAACAGTAACTCAGGCAGACTTTAGCGGATCATACTGGAAAGATTTTGATAGGGTTCTGCTTGATGCATAACAATTCTGACTCTCAAAATCTCAAATACCTATGTCTTTGCTGCTTTCGTTTTTGTACGTCCGTTTTCTTTGCTCAAAAATCTTACTATGTTGATCATAGAATCTATGACGAATTATGTTTTGAAGAAGGGCGAAGGCAGGGTCAACCCTACGTTGTTAGTAACAACGGGGGGTCGTACCTGGTTGAGTTTGTAGGAGGGGGGTCGTACCCACTTTAGTCGCTCGAAATCACGTGTGGGATTGAGGTGAAACTAAGATTTCGTGGGTAGTAGGCTGGGCGAGTGGAGGGCGCGCAGGATAAAAATTTGCCGTTTCAGCGTGACTATATACCCCCCCGCTCGACGGCATTTTTGGAGGAAAAAGTGGGATGTTATTGGGCAGGTACCGAATTAAGCTACTAATAATGAGGAATATGGTGGTCCGTAGTTGGAAAAGGGGGGTCCGTACCATAGATCCGAACCCTGGGGGAGGGGCGGGGGGGTTGTATTTTGAAAAAGTAAACAACGATAGCTGTACCCTGGGCGTGAGCAAGCGGTGGCCAACTTACACACGTGCCATGCCAGATATGGATCGTTCCTAGCCTTGGTTAACCAAGCCCTTTTACCTGCGCGGTTGGTGGTGGTGCTGGTCCAAGGTTTTAAAGGGGTTGGTGGTGGAGCTGGTCCAAGGTTTTAAAGGCACTGCCTTACACGACGATTTCTCCCACAATTTTTTGTATAGGCCAACTACCTGTAGTGTTCAAATGCCAATTGCTTAAAGGCATGCCCCAGGATCACATTGGTGTGGCTCTTGCACACGAATGCGAATGTATTGGTGCGAAGTGGGCCGGCAGTAAAGAAAAAGGAAAAGAATCCGTCGAAAACGCTTAGGTTAAGGGCTCACTCACCTTCCTAATCGGCTGTGCTAAGGGAATGAGAGACTAAGCGCGGAGAGGAGAGTATGAGGCGAGAGAGCGCTACAGATGAGAGAGCGCCAGACAACAGCCTGATAAGAGAAAAAATCTGCAGCTTCAGCAGCTTACTTTGCAAGGCCCAAGCGCTCTTGTCGGTTGGTTTCCGTGCACGGGAACGCCACATTTGTGATTGTCCTCTAGGGTTCTATACTACAGACCGAAGAGAAGCGTTCACACGACCTCTGCCTGGGTTGTGCCTTTAAATGCTCTCACTGGAATTGGGAATAGTGGTACATTTTGAAAGGAAAGTGTTTTTTGGCATGTACCGAATGCTTTCTTTATTTTTGTTTGGATTTACGTGTAACGTAGCGATTACGCTCGTTGGCCCCTTCACAATGATAGCAACATTTCCCTATGAACCTTCTGACAAGGCATTAACTCGGAACCCATCCGCTGGAGCTGTTGAATGCACTGGACTCTTGTTGGATCGTCTTCAATCTTTCTGCCTTCTGATCCGAGGAATCTTGTTACACAGGCTTGTTACACAATCCCCCCGAATCTCATGAGATCTACTGAAGAGGAACTTAGAAGAACACTAGGAAGTGTAGGATCTGAATGGATCGTTGAGTTTTTTAAAGCTGGCAGTTGGAAAATAGAATTTTCGCAAGAGGCTGGCGCTTTCCTTATTTAGCCCTTCTATGCGACGTTCCTTTTCTGAGAAGCTTTTTACCATTAAAGGGGTTGGCGCTGATTGAGGAGTGGTTAGGTCGTTCTTTCGTGCCATTTCTATTCAATGTCGTTTAACTTCGAAAGTCAATTTGGCAGCGAATAGCGTTGCGAAAGGGCTTTAACGTCGTCAGAACTTGATGGTCGACCTCCTTATTCCCTCTTGCGTTAGCTTTCTCACAGAATGTTCGACTTTTACATTATTTTGCGAGCTTGTTGGAAAGGCAAGGCGGCAACAATAGGCTAAGACGCTATTCTGCTTTTTTCTCCAAGAGTGCAAACTGACTCAAGCGGACTTCCTCCAGCTCATCAGGCTTAGAGTGATGCTTATTCTAACGTGTGTGATGATGATGCAATACGATTATAGGTACAATGCCGTCGATTGCACCACGCACTTGAAGTAGGCGTGATAGATTTGTGGGCTCTTCTCGAAGATGGTTCCGGGCCCTCGCACCTCTCGCATAGCTGGTCACGTCTCATTTCCTCAAAGGCAAACCACGGGATTAGCCCGACTCGTGGGAAGAATCTGCGAGGGAAATTGTAAGGTCCACAATTACCTAGATCGCTCCAGCTTCGTCGCAAAAATTGCGTGGTTAAACCGCTACCCCTCACGATCGAGTACCCATCGACCCTCGTTGCAAGGCTTCCCACCCACCTTGGGTGATGTGG